ATGCCAGGTTCAGGAAGCCTAAGAGTAAGTATAATAGCAGGATGTAAGCTGGCTAAATACTGGGATGGAGGAGAGAGAAGACGAGAGATAGCATAAGCGGACTGCAAGCTTATAGCCGGCTTCAGCACAAGAACCAAGAAAATTTTTTAGAGAAACAAGTGGACCATGTATTAATAGTAATGGGCTAACTACTATATAAATGGGCTGAGAGAAGGCTGAAAAAAATCTTACAGCCAGTAGCCGGGTGTATTATTAGCCTTGCTCTAATACGAGGAACTTTATTCGGTCTGGACTCCGGAGTGGATTAACTGAGTCCCGCCTGCGTGCAGTACTAATGGTGTGTTTGGTTTGATGAATGAATTGGTCCATCATCTTCTCACTCCTCACTTTTTATATTTGGTTTGTGAAATAAAATAAGTTGATCTATCACCATCTCATTTTTTACAAGCTAATAATTAGTATATGCATAAAAAATAAGTTGATTCTACTAAAATTCATGAGATGAACTCATGATACATCACCTCGTAAAGCATGTGATAACTCTACTAACTAAATACACCACGTGTGGCCGCTGGCCACGTAACGAAACATCACGTTTTTAAGTTGTAACCGAACAAGCTACTGCAACTTGTCCTCTATTCTTCGTCTCTCTCGCTCTTCTATGCTCCTTCCTTTTTTCCCTCTTCCACGCCAAGAGGGTTGTTAACACCCAAGCCCAGATTTTTTTTTGTTCACAGAATGTATCCTAATTTTTAGCCTAATTCTTCTTCTGATGATCGATTTAACCTCTGATAAAAAAAGATTGACCTTGGTTCTATTTCATCTCTTCAACAAGTTTAGTAATAAGCATAACGGCCCTATTGTTCTGATGGAGAGAAGAACCTATAATTAGCTTTCCGGGAAATTTCCAAACGAACAATTTCAACAAAATCTTTCAATTTCTTATTTTATTATGTTCAACTTTATGTATTCCTCTATCCATAGAGTACATTGAATGTACAGAAATAGCTATAACAGAGTTTCTGTTATTCGTATTAACAGCTACTCTAGGGGAATGTTTTTATGTGGTGCTAACGATTTAATAACTATCTTTTGGTTTTACATTTTACAGGTGGCACACAGGCATGTCGTAGGCTCATACCTACACAAGGCTGGAATCCGATGGCTGATTTCCAATCAGATGGTGCCCGTGGGGACCGTGAGCCGCGCCGGCGGACCAAGATCACCCACCAGGTCGTTTTCAATGGGAACGTGGTAGATGCGCCGATCGGCCTGACAAGCATCGACGACACGACGTCTCCGATTCCGAGGACCTCTGTCATGACATGTGCCTTGGGTCTTGTAATAGGATCATGAATGGATGTGTTTGGGCCGTAAGTCTTGTCTCTTATCGGTTTGGCAGGGACCCGAGTCCCATATATGTAGTACCATGTCTAAGTGAACGAGGACATCAGATATGAACAAATCAATTATTCCGTCTCTCTACCGTCTTTCTCCTAGCTTCTCTGTTTGAGACGCTTCTCTGTTTGAGACGGCACTGCCGTGCTCTTCGCCGTGTGTGTTCACCGGCAAAATCCTCTAGTTATCCAGGATCGTGACAACCTCCTGGGGCTCTTGCCCGTGCGCACCAGCGCGTACGCCACTCCACTCCGCCCCGTCCGCACCGCGGCCACGTGCGAGCAGTGGTCCCAGCCGGGTGATCGGCCGCGCCGGCTTCCTCCGCCGCGTCTGCTGCCCCCTCCACGCGCCGACGCCGTACGTGCTTGGCCACTACCACATCGTCGTGGAGCCTGGACGGCCGCAGCCTCTTCATCCCAACCCCCGAGGCCCCGACGCTGGCAACCGCGGCTCCATTGGCTTCCTATCGTGCAGTCAGCCGGGTGGTCTTGGACAGAGCCGGCGGCGTGGCGATCAGCGATTCACCGAGAGCCGCGGTAGCCTCCGATCCTTAGGGGTTGTGGTCGCAGTCGCTCCTAAAATTTATGTCACATCAAATATTTAGAGGCTCATAAGGAGCATTAAATATAAATTAATTACAAAACCAATTACATAGGTGGAGGCTAATTTCCGAGATGAATTTTTTAAGCCTAATTAATCTATCATTAGCACATGTTTACTGTAGCACCATATTGTCAAATCATGGACTAATTAGGCTTAAAAGATTCGTCTCGCAAATTAGTCGCAAGTTGTGCAATTAGTTTCATAATTAGTCTATATTTTAATAATTCATGCATGTGTCCAAACATTCAATGTGACAGGAATTTTAGAAGGAGGAGAAGGAACCAAACAGGCCCTTAATGTTGTAGGAATATGGTGATCCTACCTTACCTCCGGTCAATTTTATCTGACACACACATGTCAAGATTCAAACTTTAAAAACTTTGACCAATAATTGAACTAATAATCCAAAAAAAAATCTCTTTTTTTTATACATAGGTCGTCGATTTGGCATTGGAAAAAGAACTGCGTGCCCTTATAGTAAATAGTTCAAACTATTTTATCGATATGAGTGTTCTATATTAGATAAATTCTACACTAGCTATTTCCGGTTTAAAACATTTCGAGACTAATACTAATGTAGTTGTAGAAAGAGTACCCCTTTTTGCCCGGACTTCAAGCAGTTTAGCTTTAACCGTATTAATGGTCTCACATTATTGGTCTATAGAGAATCAAAGTAAATTACCAATGAATCACGAAATGCTATGGTTCTTCCATATGATTTTTGAAGTTATTCAGAAGTAATTCGTCAAGATCGTGCACCTTTTCTTATTTATAAAAAATACTAAAAATAATCACTATTATAGTACAAACTTTATATATGATTAGATTTGTAAGAAATTATACTGTCTAATGATTATAAGTTTATAAGCATAAATAATATAATATAATATGAAAGCAAATGAATGGTCAAAGTGTAATCTAACAGACCGTGTCATTCTAACTTGCGCCAGATAAAATAGATCGGAGTGAGTATTTGTGAACTGAAAAGAACCAAGGATCATGGAATGATTTTGAAACTAGACGTTGAAACAGCTTACAATGGGGCGATGAGGTGGGATATCTTAGAGGAAGAAGTGATTGGAAGAGGTTTTCCACAAAAAGTGGATCAATTAGGTTATGCGGACTGTCAAAGGAGGACATGTATGCATCAATTTTTCACGTAACCATGTGGCAGAGTCATCTTTGTGTTGCTTCCGGATCCATGCCTTAGACCTACCAAGAATGTTACATGCAACTAATAATTCTTTCTTGTCCATATCAACATAGGGCGAAACGACAGATGCTTGTTGCAAGATTTCAAAATGTGCTTTCATGGGAACATTGTAGTCATGAACATGGACAGACTTCTCCCCAGTTCCCTTTCCTTCTATCCTTTCCTCGTGCCGTGACACAGGAACACCAAGTCCATTGTGATCCAAATATTGAATGTAGAACTCCAGTGCTTTCTCTGTTGACCATCCTTCTGACATGTACCCCTCAAACCTGTATCTATTTCTATCATACTTCCTCAGAACGCTCATTAATCACTCGAATGGAAACATCTGGTGCAAGAAAATGGGCCCAAGTTGTTGTATTTAGGCGACAAGGTGAACAATGAGATGCACCGACATATCGAAATATGTTGGTAGGAAATGCATCTTGAGCCAATTCATTGTAACTCTGGATTAGATTATCCTATAGCCTTTTTAAGGATAATTGGATCTACAACCTTGTGTGAGATCGCATTAAAAAATGAGCACAACTTTTATGGTCGACTCCCATATCTTCAACTGTAGAACACCCTTGATTGCAAAAAATAAATAAAATAAAATAAAAAAATTGTGTCATGAGGATGTGGCAATCGTGGGCCTTCATGCAGCTCATGTTGATCTTTTCACAATTTTTATTATGGGGCCCACACAATAGTGAACCTGTGGCGGTGGATTGCATGCGATTTTATGGCTGGAGAACTTCGCCAGACGGTGGCAGCACTCTGCTGGTGCGTTGAATTATATTCAATGAGCTAGGGTAGAATAGAATAGTGTGTGTATATGGGCCTGTTTGGCTCACAATAGCTTTATGAGTTGTCGTGAGTTTTTTTTTGTGCAAAACATCTTTTTCTTTTCTCCTCTCACAATGAAATGAGTTAGGATGAAGCTGAAAAAGTAGCTTATTCCACATCTCTTTCTCATTTATCTCTCTCATCTATGTATAAAACTGTTTTGCTAAATACTTTTTTTTCAAAACAGCTTAACTTCACCTAAAAAGTTGCTTATGAAACCGTTTTCTAAAAAAAAAACTTTACTAGTGAAGCTGAACTGTGCCAAACGAGGCCTATATATAGGTAATGGAAAAAATCCGGTTTCAGCCTTCTTCTCAGCAGAAGAAGCATCAGTCGGAACCTTATTTGTAAATATATCTATGAAACAGAGTATTAAACCTTTAAATAAACACCGACTGTTCTTTTGAAAACGTAGCATATAGACCAATTATTTTTATTCTAATTAGAGTATGCGGATGTGTAATATCCAATATAGAGCCACAATATGACGAAGGTACCTTTGGGGACAGAAATCGATATATATCTCTTTCTTGTTTCTAAAGTTCTGTATGTTTGACCACACGCGCATCTTGTTCTTGAGCACCATCTATTTGCGATGGCAGGGAATAATGCTTGAGCCCCACGTAGAACAGCTCCTTGAACCTAGACAGTGCCTGTGGCTCCATAGTAACGACGACGTTGAGTCGGCCATCGCCGTCTGGGCTAGGCACAAGGTAAAGGAGGTTGCTCTTGCTGTGGATGGCCCGGCCGGCAAACGACGGCCGGCCCCAGCCGAAGTCCACGTCGGTGACGGACAGCCCAATCCAGCTCACGACGAGCAACGGTGATGACCCACGGCCCCTCGTACACTCCCCCCGGAGCGTCGTCGTTCATGGCGAGCTCCAAGTAGTCCGCCAGCGACCGTATGTACTCGTCGCTCAGTCGAGCAGCGGAGGCGGTGACCTTGTCGGCGACGGCGTCAACTGGGCTCGAGACGATGTCCTTCACCTTGGTGACCATCGTTGACGTAATAAGGGCGAATGGCGATGGTGTTGCCGAAGAAGACCCTTGGGAGAGGAGGACACATGCGCAAGCGCAGGCAACCCACCCCGTATATCTGAGAGTCCTCCGCCGTTCCACTAAGGCCTTTTGCTTTGCATGAGCACTGCCACACATGCGCCACCACTGCGCTGTAAGTGGAGACCTTCTTGCCGGTGCCGGCGCTGGCGGCGCCGGCAGCGCCTTTGAGCGCCTCGACTTGGTTCTTGGAAATGGGGAAGACGGCAGTGTCGAACGGCACGTTCTCGTCGTACGTCTTCGACGGCGCGCCGGCGCTGCCATGGCGCGGGTATTCGGGGTGCTGGAAGCGCACTGCCGGCGGCGAACGTCCGCGGAGCAGCGTGCGGTCGAGGCATGGCTGCAACGACGTGGCCGCCTCGCTGTCACCCCTCGCATTGGCAGTCCACATCTGCATGAAGTCGCCACCTGCGCGGCCGTCACACACCGTGTGGTGGATTGCCGTGCCGAGGCACACCCCACCACACTCGAAGAACGTCACCTGCGATGATGCGTGGTGGACAACTGGGACGACGTCAGCGGGCGTTGCGAGCTACTCTACGCCGTCGCCGGAAGGGAATATATATATAATGCTTGCGCCGTTGCATGCATGCTGCGGCGAGAGGCGTCACCTGGAACATGGCCAAGACGCCGGCGTGGTCGCCGGCTTCGGCCATCGGGACAAGCATCTGCCGCAGCTCCTCCGACGGGACGGGGTTTCCCAACTTGTCGAGGGTGGCGTCCGTGCGGGCGGTGACGAAGAGTACCCCGTCGCCGGTGCAGTGGATCCTGGATCTCGGGGCGGCCAGAGCTGTCGGATCCGAGGCGGCCTGCCATGGGATAGAAGGGAACAAGCGCCTTGGACAGAGCTGCCTTCAGGATGTCCGGCGAGAAGGCGGCCGAACCAGAGCAGGCGCGGCACAAGTAAACCAGGGGAGTGTGGGTCCTGCTCTGGACGAGGTCGAAGACGGAGAGCCAAAGCCGGTGCTTGGGCGTCGCCTCGCCTGGCGGCACCATGCACGACTCGACTATCTCCACTGCCATTGGGCTTGGGCGAAGCTACGGTTGGTGTGGGTGCAGCCGTGCAAGGGGCTGATCTATCTTCCCATGTTTTATAACGGCAGCTCCAACGTGTATTCCAACCGAACCGACAAAACTTTTATATATGACATAAAGTTTGGTTCGATAGCTCTGGCCAGTGCTTTCAGAGCTGAGCGGCTGCTGGAGCTCCACGCCATGTGCCAATGACTACTCCCTGCTCCATGTTGTCTACTTTACACCTTTTGCAAACAATAGAAAACATTTTGTTGTGGGTCGCATCTTAGTATCTGCTAAGAAATTTTCAAGGTCGCGCGGCTGCCCTAAGCTACCTTCAAATAGCTTTTAACTATCAGGAGATGCTGAATTCCTCCGGTACCGCTGCTTTTAAATAGCTTTTAACTATTTCAACAAAAATCATATGAGGGAGATGCTGAATTCCTCCACTATCGCTGCTTTTAAAATGTTGAAAGAATCAAACAGGTTAGTGTACTCGGCCAGATTGCTGTCAATTTATCTTGATTCTTTCTGTCACCACACACACAGGCATACATGGGCACACAGCCAGCTGGACTATCCAAACTGAACAGTAAAGACACTGTATCATGACGGGCCCCAGAAACAATATAATTTAGGTTTTCAAATAAGTCAAACTTTTATGTTTGACCAACTTTATAGGGAACAAATCAACATTTATTTCTCCAATTATATTTACTATGAAAATATATTTCATAATTGATCTAATGACACTTATTCAGTATTATAAATGTTAGTGATTTTTGGTCAAGCCTAAATTTTTTGATTCCTTGATAAGTGAGAATTATATTCTATTCTTTTTAAGACAGAGGGGTGTGCGCCGGTCCGGTTGGACCCCCTCGACCACATGGCGTGCTGGTCCGGACCAAGGGCCCATCCGAAGAATTATTTCAGTGCAAATAGAGACGGACCAAAACACTTCGGACCGAGTGAAGGTTAGTCCGGACCTTGGGTACGGACTCGGTCCGGAGCAATTTGAGGGGTTCTGGACCTCTGTAGAGTGGTCCGGGCCCTAGGCGGCGTTGGTATGGACCGAGACTGTTGAGTCCGGTCTAGTTGCTCTAACATAGAGCCGTTGCGCGCGCAACGATAAAATTCAAAGAGCGGGCACTCTGATTGGAGGTGACCGGGAACCGGACCCGGAGCGCATGGTCCGGACCCCTCGGTTCAGAGCTGCTGCGCCGGTCCGGTTGCCCCACGACAGGGTAGCAGCTACTTGAGCCCTTGGAGCTCTATAAATAGATGTTGGCCGGCTCTAGCTCACCCTCTTGGACATTTTGATCATTGTTGTATCCTTGTGAACTAAGCCAAACCTCTCCCACTCATTCTCTTGATTGAATCATCATCCAAGCGGGTTGGGAGTGATCCAAAGTGTATTTGCTTGAGTGATTGTATCCAGTGGCACTTTGTGATCGTTCTAGCTGTGGTTTTCTTGTTACTCTTGGTGGTTGCCGCCACCTAGACGGCTTAGAGCAGCTGTGGAGTCTTGGCACGAGGTGGTGATTGTTCGTGGCCACTCCCGATTGTGATTGTGAGGGGTTCTTGGGCTTATTCCCCGGCGGAGTGCGAAAAGCCACTCTAGTGGATTGCTTGTGTCGGTGAGTACCCTCATTTGTTTAGGTTCTTGCGGCACCTTTGTGTAAGGCTAGGCTTGTGATGCCTATTAGATCGTGAACCACCAAGTGAACAGTCGACATAACGGGGACTAGCTTGCTGGCAAACAAGTAAACCTCGGGAGAAAAATTGTGTTAATTGGCTCTTTGGTTTTCACTTGGTATTCATTGATCGTCTCTTGCCACGATCGGTATACTACCTCTCTTGTGTACTTACATTCATATACTCATCTTGTGTAGAGTTAGCTTGAGTAGCTAGTGTAGCTTAGTTGAAATTAGTTAACTAAGTTATTTAGTTACCTAGTTAGCTCAACTAGTGTAGAGTAGTGACTTAGGCTTTGTGTGTGCTTTAGAGATCATAGTCACTAGAATTGTGGTTTAGGTAGCTTGTCTTTGAAGTAGAGTTAGAGCAAAAGGCATTTACGTCATTTAGTTATCTAACCGGTTGCTCTAGTATTTTGTAGAGAATTTTTATATGCTATTAACCCCCATCTAGCCATTTAGAACCTTCCAGTAAGGCAGTCTTAAAATGCCATATGAATTATAGAATGGGAGAAAACTGACTTTGAATTATTTGCATGTGTGGGGGTAATTGCCCCGCTGAAGCAAAAATCTTCAAGCCAAAGTCTTCAATCCAAACTTACTAAGGAGTAATCCTTCAAACTCATCACCAGTTTAGAAAGACATAGATCTATTTTGGGTTACTATCTTCAAAATCTCAAGGGAATAAAAATCCCTCTTTGCACTCATCGCATACGGATCGATTCTGCTTGCACACCATCTAGCGAATCTGTAACACCCCTGGTGTTATGGGCTTCTTTAGCACCGCGATTTAGGCCTAAGAAAAATTTTTGAAACGAGTTCTTGGGTTTTTAATTTAAAACATACTGGATGCGATAAGTGAATCCTATGTGACTCAGTTTTGTGGACTCAAATAAACGCCCAAGTTAAATTACTTAGTGCGTAGAAATATTAGGAATGTCTGATGATGGTTGTAGCAAGTAAATAGCGAACGGTTTGTTTCATTGATTAAGCATGAAAAACAATTTTTATAAATAAAAATATGATATGACTGGTATATGGTACTTAAGTAAAATTCGGAGCATGATTTTGATTGCATTTAAAATATCGAGTAACAAACTTTAGTGCTTTAGCCGTGTTTGGAACTATAAATAGTCGGCTTGTTAAATGAAGATTTGAGAGCTGAAATAATAACGAGAATGCCGCTAGCCACTCGCCTCACCTACCTCGCCGGTACGGCGCTGTTGATGGATGAGTTGGCCGGGCTGCTGCTGCCGTGTACTGCTTTGCTTGTTTTTCCTTTCTCACTGCCAGTTCCGTCGCTTCACTCTGTGCCTCTTGGCGTGCACTCTGCTCTCTGACCTTGCTTGACTTGCCTACTATGCGCTGTCTCATTTTCCGTCGTGACGCGGCAGTGCAAAGTCTCCTCATCCATCCGCATCCTGGACAAATCCATCGCGTAGGGGCGTCTGAAAATTAGCACGTGGTTCTGCTCCCTGCCCACGCTGCGTCCTCTCATGTCCCTATGCGCGCGCTGGCGTGCCCCATTGCCGTGCCGTCCCTCCCTTCCCCGCTCTGGACCGCAGCAGTCACGTCGCAGATCCATCCGAGTCAGTCCTGCCTCTCCTCCCTTTTTCTTCTCTGCTGCCGAGGGGAGCCGTCCCAGCTCTGCTCGTCCTCCTTGCTCTCTCTCGCTGCTTGCTTACGCCTCTAGAGGCCACAGTTGCCGCGCCCATGCCCCTCTACCGCACTGGACCTGCAGCTCCCCCATAGCTGTGCTCCTCCTCCCGAGCCACCGCGTCCCCGCTACCCGTGCCAGCAGCGCTGTTTTCTCCCTCCCCAGCTCCTGCGCCACAGCTCCCGTCGGCGCCACCAGGTTCCCCTCACGCACCCGCGCGCGTGACCCTACTGTCCCGCGTTGGAGCAGCGGTTCCGTTGTGCTGCCCCGCCGCCTCAGCTCCACGCGCCGAGCCACCTCACCAGCCTTTGCGGCCTCGCTGCCTCTGCACGCGCAGCGCTCCCGGGCTCCGCCGTGGCTCCTCCTGTTCCCCCAGTGCGCCGTGGCCGTCCATCGTCGCGCCGCGCCACCCCCCGTCCGCTTCGAGCTCGGCCACCGCCTCTGCCGCAGCACGCCATGGTCGTGCCCGCCTGCGTGCGTGCGTGGTCGCCGTACCGCCGCCACGCCTCGGGCCTTGTCGTCGATGACCGCGTGCGGCCGGGTCCGCCGCTAGCACTTTCTCGCGCCGCCTCGCTCCCCCTCCGACGCCGGCGAGCCACCGATTGGGCCGGCGGATGGTTTCCCATCGTGTGCTCTGCTTTGGAGGATGAAGGAATGGGTGAGAATCGAAGAAGAAGTTTTATACAGGATCCTTATTGAGAAATACTTGACTCGTTTGAATAGTGAGCTCGATCGTAGGTTGATTAGCTAAAAACCGGGGGTCTTTTATGCAAAAACACATGCCGAGATCCAGGCCACGCCCGCGTTAGCTGGCTTGCCGCTGCCAGCGCTGGGCAGCGCATGGGCTCTGCTGGTTAAGCAAAGAATGGCAGCGCCTTTTGGGCCGGCTCGGCTGGCGGCCGCATGCGCCTGCGCTTGGGCTGGTCTGGTAGCTCATATTGAGCCGTAAAAGTGAAGCTGTGCTTTCATGGCGGCCTGCGTCGTCCGTGCTAGGGTCATTGGGGCCGATTAGTTGACGCCGGCCCCTTTTCAATTTGAGGTATTTTCTAATTGAATGTTGAAGCAAACTTGTAATATCAATATAAAATTTGTATAGTTGTCCAAAAATTGTGAAACCAGTTTTGTTAGTCTCCTAAAATCATGATCTACCTGTTAGCATATTTTGTTCACATAGTTTGATAATATTCTTGTAAGCTATAGAATTAATTTAAGGTACTTAATATTGTAAAAATGTAAATTTGTAGTAATTGTTGTGATAAATTGGTAGTAGTGTTGGATTTAAACTTTTTACAGTAGGCTCCTAGCAATATTTGGTACTCACTGTAATTTTTGTAGCTCGAATAATTAGTTGCTAAATAGATAATGATGCCCTATTGCGAATCAAGATTAAATGAATAGAATAGAATAAAGAAACAACTTGGGTTTATATAACTAAAACATTTGTTGGGAAATAACGCCTTATTCACCAACATGGATATGTAGCCTAAGTACGGACATCGTTAGAACGTGCTCGTTAGCTTGTGAGGCGTGATCGGGTTTCTAATCATTTCGGTTGTCGTTGATTATTTACATCTATGCATTTGCATCAATACATATCATATAGGTACGATGATGGATCATCGGATCAATTGAATGATGATTGAGAATCCAAAGATAGTGTAATAGTATTCTCTCCAAAAGATGATGGTGGATGATCTGAAGATGCAAATACTAACTTTTAATATATATCTTACCCAGGCAAGCCTCGGTGCATAACCCTACTTTTCTGTAGTTTAAATTATATTTGTGCATTAAATTTTAAGGAGTTGAATAAAACCCACTTGCATATATATATCTTTATCCTATGAGTCTTACTAGTATTACATGATCGTGTAGAATGCTATGCTACAAGACTCCGGTAGAAGTCGAGTGATTACCTGTCACTCGCGAGAGATAGGAAATATATTACTGTATTATTATCACTTGGAAAATGTAAATGGTGGAAAAAATGGTGATCGGGCAGGGATATGGTTTGGGTATTGGTGGGTGTAAGAGGTTGTGTCGCCGCGGACGCGGGGATAGCTTGGTTACACTGCTTTCCCTGTCTGTGTCGGTTAAGGACCGGCCGTTGCATAAGGCTCTAGGCAAGTCACAGACTTATTATCCCGAGCACATACTTGTGTATGGGTGCTTGAAAGACTTGTTGCTCTCTTGTCGTGGATCCGGCTCTTTCTGGACCGACTGTCAGGGTGGTTTTTGGGTTAGGAGGTCCTTGCACCGCACTGAGTCCGGGACTTAGGGACGGGGGCTTGGAGTCCCAGTTTGGATGGAGACATAGACACCCAGGACAGGACGGTGATAGCTTGGTCCTGCTTATGCCTTGGGTACAAGTGGGACGTGTGTTTTCGGGGTACCCAGCTGGGAGCATTGATTCGCGAATGGCCGGGAAATCCGGTACGGCTTGTATACGATTTAGCATCGTAGTAAGAATTGAAAGATGGAAAAAGGAAATCTGATTGCTTACCACCTGCTTGAAAGTAGCACATGTGCTTACATAGAATGGTTAGTTAATAAACCAATACGACTGTTAATAAAAATCGAATATAAGGACGCACGCTTAGTAATGCTTACTGCAGATGCAATAAACCCACAAGCCAGATAGTCTTGCATATCTTTGGAGTCTTTTCTTTCCTCCTGTCGAGTAAGTCTTGCTGAGTACAATTGAGTACTCAGGGTTTTATTTTCCTCTGTTGCAGGTAACAGGTGGATGCTAAAGCTGAGAATTTGTGTGGATTCCTCCTGGTGGGTTCAAGGAGGATTTTCTTTATGCTACGATCATAGTTTTTATTTATAACTTTCACCAATTGTTTTTATAAATGAAAGTTTTATAATCTGTTGTCATAGTTTACATATCAATGATTCATCATGCCATGATTAGATAATTATTTCTACTGTAATTCTATTCACATGTTTATATTCCACTGTTCAATTAAATTATTCGTAACTCTGGTAATATGATTATATTCCGTTGTTATAACAGTAATCTGATGTTATATTAAAAGTGATGTAAGAAATGGTTAAGAATGATGTAAGCTTTATTATCTCATTTGTGATTCTAATGGTAAAAATATAGATTTTCGAGTGCCTGATGGGACCGTGTAATTTAGTGTTCTCCTTTGGTGCTTAGTGTCTAATGGAAGATAGCACTCTTAAAAGACATTAGATTAGGCGGTTCTGCCACAGAATCCATAGAAGGTTAAACAATGTGATAAGAGAGGCTATCAGGAAAGATGTTTTGAAGCTCTGGCACGCAAAAGTAACTTATCATGTCCTTAATAGTGAGTGGGTTAGCCCATGCAAGTTGTGACCAATAAAAGATGCAGAACGATAGTTGCAAATGAGAAAAATGAGTTGATCCCTCAATGAAACGTCATGGGGTAGAGAAGATGCATCGAGTACCGAAAACTTAATAAGGCTACAAAGAAAGATAAAACATGAATACATGTTGTCTAGATATTGACATATTCCTTAAAACATAGCATATATACATACAGCTTGTAATGTATTTAAAAACCGAAAATGAAAGTATAGTAAGAGTACCTCTTCGAAACAGTGTATCTTAAATATTTGTAAAATACACCGTTATAAAAGTTAACATGGACAAATCGCTTTATTGTAAATATATGTACGTAACATAACAATTTGGAATACAAGAACCTTTAAACATTGATTATTTATATCTACTTCTTCCGTTTAATTATAAGACATTTTGTTATTTCTAAATTCATAACTTTTATTATGTATCTAGACACAGTAATATATATCTAGGTACAAAAACTATGAATATAGAAAAGCCAAAATGTCTTATAATTTGGAACGGGGGAAGTAATATCCAATGTAGAAGCACAATATTACGGGACCTGAAGGTGCATCCTGAAAAGAGATCTCGATATATTTTTTTTCTTGTTAAAGTTTTGCATGTTTAACCACACGCGCTTGAGCAGAATCTATTTGTGAAAGCTGGGAATAATAATTGAGCCCCTCGTAGAACAGCTTCTTGAACCTGGACAGTGCCTGTGGCTCCATAGAAACGGTGACGTTGAGTCGGCCATCGTCGTCTGGGCTAGACACAAGGTAAAGGAGGTTGCTCTGGTCGAGGAGTGCCCGGCTCACGAACGACGGCCGGCCCCAGCCGAAATCCACGTCGTAGATGGGCAGCCCGATCCAGCTGACGACAAGCAAGTCAGTGTCCGAGATGGCCCACTGGCCTAGGTGAACTCCCCGCCCGTCGCTCATGGCTTGCTCCAGGTAGTCCGCCAGCGACCGTATGTACTCGTCGCTCAACGGAGCAACGGCGGCGGAGACCGTGTCGGCGACGGTGCCGAGTGGGCTGGAGACGATGTCCTTCACCTTGGTGACCGTCGCCCTTGTGCGGGCGATGGCGTTGCCGAGGTAGCCCACCGGGAGAGGGGGCCGGACGCGCGAGCGCACGCTAGCCGTGGCGTACACCCGGGAGTCCACCGTTCCACTGAGGCCCTTCGCCTTGCACGAGCACCGCCACACATGCGCCACCATAGCACTGTAGGTGGAGACCTTCTTGCCGGCGCTGGCGCCGGCGGCGCCTTTGAGCGCGAGGATTTGGTTCTTGGAAACGGGAAAGACGGCAGCGTCGAATGGCGACTTGGTCTTGGACGGTACGCTACCACTCCGGGGGTACCCGGAGTGCTGGAAGCGCACGGCCGGCGGCGAACGTCCGCGGAGCAGCGTGCGGTCGAGGTATGGCGGCTTCAGCGATGTGGCCGCCTCGGCGTCGCCCCTCGCGATGGCAGCTCACGTCGTCATGAAGTGGCCAAACGCGCGGCCGTCACACGCCGTGTGATGGCTTGCCGTGCCGAGGCACACCCCGCCGCACTTGAAAAATGTCACCTGTGCGGTCGACGACTAGGACGGACGTCAGCGTTGCGAGCAATGGCGACACCGAAAGGGAATGATGCACGGCGATAGGCGTCACCTGGAACATGAACAAGGCGCCGGTGTGGTCGCCGCCCTCGGCCGACGGGACAAGCAACCGCCGCAGCTCATCCGATGGGGAAGCGTTGTCCAGCTTGTCGAGGGCGGCGTCCGCGCGGGCGGTGACGAAGAGTACCCCGTCGCCGGTGCAGTGGATGTCGGGGCGGCCAGTGCTGTCCGATCCGAGGCGGCCAGCGAGGGGATAGAAGGGAACAAGCGCCTTGGACAGAGCTGCCTTCAGGATGTCCGGCGAGAAGGCGGCCGAGCCAGAACAGGCGCGGTACAAGTAAATCAGGGGAGTGTGGGTCCTGCTCTGGACAAGGTCGAAGACGGAGAGCCAAAGCCGGTGCTTGGGGGTCACCATGCAGGACTCGCTCCACTGCCATCGGCGTCACCATGCAGGTGGATGCTCGATCTATCTGTCCCCCAAATCCCAATTTTATAAATCCTAGCCATCGATGACCACCGAATCGAAGCGTTTTTCCTGCGACCGATCGATTGGTGGATGCAATAATTGTCCAAACGTTGCAGGGGCTGATCTATCTGTCCCCCAATTAGTTTTTGATTTCGTCAACATTTAAGACTCCAAATCCCAATTTTATAAATCCTAACTTAAATAATGGGCTAACGCCTACTAATCTGTAGCACTGTCTGATGCGGTGTCACCATTTTGACAGGCTACTAGATGCGAATAGCCAGCTATTCGAAGATGACAACACCTTATCTTGATGGTACTCAGACAAATTAATGGTGGCCGTTCAAAACATTAGGATACAATTCTTTTTGAAACCCACTAGTATACTAACCCTCGTCCCATCGTCCTCACATTATCCTGAATGCCGTTATCCGCCCCCACCTTATCCCTGAAAAAGGAAAGGTCCAAATTACCGTTCGAGTTTATGTTTACTTTAATTGGATCTCTAACTATTTTAGCTGATGTAATTTATCCTTTAACAAGATTTATCTTTTTTCTTTCTTTAACATACAAGTTGAATTTTCATTTCAATTCTTTAAGATAATAGACAGTATTAACACCAAGTAGCATCAGACATTGGTCATTGAAAATAATTAACGAGCCAAGCAACATTGGTTGATAAAGAATTGGCATAAAGAAGTGTACCTTTAGTGGCTATACATGTGTCGATATATTTTTTTATTTATATCAAACCATCGGTAAAGCTAAGACTCTTTATCTTGATGATACTCACCCGCACAAATGATGGTGGCATCAAGACACTAGTACACATTTTTTTTGGACACAACTACCCCTCTATTCGTGATCTGTCCCTCATCTTATCCGGACCATTTTAGAGCATCTTTAGCAGTCACACGATACATCTCCAATAAATTGTTAATGGGTCTGCCCCAATATGATTTGTAGGATTATTAGGAAAGATTTTATTTTGTGACATACCAATATATGAACCCCAATATATAACCTGGCTTCATTGGCCCATTTTTATTTATTTTATGCCGCCATATCGATGGTGCTCAAATAGATGGTGCTCAAGAACAAGATGAGCGCGTGGTCAAACATACATAACTTTAGTAACAACAAAGATATATATCCATTTCTGTCCCAAAGGTAGCTTCATTATATTGTGGTTTTTTATACTGGATATTACACATAGACATACTCGTATTATACGTGTATTACAATAAAAATAATTGGTCTCTATATGCTACGTTTCAAAAACAGTCAGATCGGTGTTTATTTAAAGGTACAATACTTTGTTTCATAGATATATCTACAAATAAAGTTTCGACTGATGCCTCTCTTCTTAGAAGAAGGCTGAAACCAAAAATTTTCCATTATCCAAATACACACACTATTCTATTCTACCCCTTTGCGTTGAATATAATTAAAAGGGGCAATGCTACGGTCGCCCGCAGATTGCCAGCCACAAACTTGTGAAAAATCATTAAGGGTCCGTTTAGATTCTTGGAATTGAATTCATTCTAAGAATTATATTTTAGAAATAGAATAATTAAGCCAATATAGTTATATATGGAATATATTTGTATATTTATTGTTAGATACACAAGGGACATACTTATATGTTGCATTTCTATTGTAGGGAAGTGAGTTGAAGAGTGTGCTATAAGTTAGAGAGTAGAATTATAACACACTGATCTATAGAATCCATTTCCATCTCCCACCATATGAATTTGAGATAGTCTTATTTGTGAGCTTGGAAATGTTATGGAATATTAAATTCCAAACCAAATAGCCTAATCCATTAAGTAGATTTCAATTCCTCTAAAATGATGGGATCCAAACGCCCCCTAAGCGAAAAACCTTGTTAATCATGCCATCACCTGGCAGAAAACTCCAATTGTGTGCTCATCATCGCCATTACTACCCCAATCCATGGCCTCACACCTAGTGTTAAGCTTCATTCGCCTGCGTCATCCCATGCTAGTTTTTCACCAGGCGCCCCCATCGTATCCCGACCAGAGTCCAATGGGTTAGCTTCACCTGGCTGCCTCTACTACCCAAGCAGTCCTCCGACTCAGCTTACCTCCGAAAGTCTTACCCGTCGATTCGGCCGTCATGGTGGAAACTCCATCTGCCACTACTCATCAGAGAAGCGCCGGGAATCGCAGCAAACCTCCCGCCAGCTATATATGTCTATGCAGCCTATAGCCTAATGGCACGGTCTGAAGCACGGTTTTTTGTATGCCCGACCCAAGCAAGGCACGGCCCGGTATTGTGTAGGCCCAGGCCGGCATGGCATGACTCAACATATACCAGTTGGCCTGATGTGGCCCAATGACTTGGGCGGCCTGGTAAAAGCCCCTAGTGCGCCCTCATCCCTCTAACCCTAAATTTCATTCCCTTCCCTCCCCACCCCTAGCGCCACACTTGTGAACGCGAGTCATGACTCGCGAGTCATCGCCTATGACTCCTTCCCTTCTCTCGTGTGCCCGGTGTCCCAAACTCCACCCCTGACTCCAAAAGCTCATTCGCGCGGTGGCTCTCCAGCTCCTCACTCTACTTTGCGCCCGCCTCTGCTCCTCCGAGTCTAAGGGCTCCGCGGCTCTGCTCCTCGCTCACTTCTTCACGCTCCTTGTCCCATGGATGGCGGTGGCACTCCTTCGCGCAGGTGGCGGCGCATGGAAGCGACAATGTTTGGCCACGATGACGAGGCGTTGAGGCCTCGACAGCTCCCTCCCACTCCCTTGCGACGCAGCGGCAGTGCTCCCCCATGCCTCACTCCTCCGTGACGCAATGGTAGCGCTACCCCGCGCCTCAGATCCTCTCTCCCTTCTTTTTGACGTGGGCCTCGGGCTAGCCCGGCTTGCTGGAGATGCCATGCTTATTGGGCCAGCCTGGCCATGCCTGGGCCGGTGGCCAGGCATGCAGCATGACCTCAGCATGGCCCGAGGGCCCGACCCCCTGCAGGCCATGCCTGGCACGGGCCTGTGCCAGGCCATGCTAGCCCGTTGGCCATCTATACCGCCAGCATCTCACGGAGAAGTGATGGGAATAGCCCTCAACACTGTCCACCTCCACACCGAATAGATACCCAATCGGTGAGTATCCTCGAGACCTCTATTTGTTTTAGATGGCGCTAGCGCCTAAACGATGCGCTCGGCTAGCACGCCCTTGCCCGAGCCTGCATTTTGCACACCCACACGGGGCCTGCGCCGCCCAGATGACACCCATGTCGCCAAACCGATGCGGAGGGACCGCTCACACCCCCTCCACTTCTCACGCATTACAACATCGACATGAAACACTAGCAACATACATCCGAAATAGCTGAAACACTTGCAACATGTGTTAGAAACACTTGCAAAACAACAGAAAAAAGCTTGAAAACGTGTGTAGTCATTGCTAACATCAAGATGAAACACCAACTTACGTATGAAAAACACCTGAAACACTTGCGTATATATGCAACATCCCGATCTAGTTTTGCAACATCGAAATAAAACACTTGTAACATATATCTGAGACAAATGAAATATTTGGAACAAACACTTGAAACATTCGTGTATTGTTCATTGCAATATGTGCCACATTCCGATCTACTTTTGAAACATCGATATAAAACACTTGCAACATACCTCTAAAACTTCTAAAACACTTTAAACATACGCTTGCAACATGCGCTTTAGCACAATGTCACCTTGCTCACCAATACACAAACTTTTTCCTGGTGGGCAAAAGAGGTTTTCTGAGGTAGGCAACCCGTCCACCTCGATGCAAAGGCCTATGTAAATCATAGTTAACGCAGGCGGTCCTGATGCCCGCCTTGCGTTAATCGATTTAAAAAAATAAAAAATAGCCTATGCCCGAAGAGCCCATACGGGCCCACCGTCGAGCCCAACCAAGCTTGAGTCATCCTAGATCCGCAGCCACCACCGTCGTCATCATGCCCATGCCTTCTTGATGGATCTGGGCACTCCTCGCCGGATCTGAGACCCCGCTCACTGGATTTAGGCCATGGCCGCCGGATCCACCCGCGTGCCACCGTGAGCTCCGACGAGGAAGAGAGGCCACATGAGGGAGGGAGGCTGCGCCATGCCACGCCATGGATTTGGGTGCTTCAAGAGAATGGGAGGCCATGCCACGCCGATGCGTAGCCGTAGCCACCGCAGTGGATCTGAGCACTAGCAAGGGGGAAAGGTTGCACGAGGGAGGAATGCCGTGCCATGCCACTATTGGTATATTTAACACACACAAATAAATCTGAAAGCGCACGAAAACCACTGTAGCTTTCACTCGGAGGTATTCCAAGTATCGTATCCACAGAGAAACATGTGAGACTAACTACGATCTAACTTAACTAGGGGTAGCAACAAGGTTAGGATAAATAGGAGCGTAGAGAGGATAACTAAAGTTCTCTAGTTCTTACTTGGGTAAGCTTATGTCTTCTACTATTCAACTAGGGACATTATTAGGGAAAGACACCAGAGGATGTTTTCCTTCGCAACCGCGTCCTATGTGCGCCTACAGACAGGAGGTGGACTATAAAGGATCAACGAAGCTATATAGTATAGGCTATATAGAACTTATGTCACTCACGCGATCTACCACCTTCCGAAATGTAGGGTGTATCCATGATTAACGTAAGTCTAAGCACCATGCTTACACTTACGATTAATACTCTACTCCCCCTAGGAAGAGAATAAAGCATTCAAAAGAGAGTCATGAACCTGAAGAACAATATAAATAAGATGCTTACTTGAATCAGAAATTGATTACCAGAGAAATCTCATATACAAGCTCAGCTAGAACTTGAATCCACCAAGGTACAAGCCTTAGAGAGAGCATCGACAGACCAACATCTCCTCCAAACTCTTCCCTCACTCTCTATCTCACTACTTCTAATTATAAGACTAAATCTTATAGAG